TGGAGTTTCTTTGTTTGGTTATGGAGGCGTCTGGCCGAGTGAGTTGCTATCAACTTGACCTTTCCAGGCTCTGAGGAAGGTGAAATTCGCCGAAACGTCAGCTTAATCGTGAACAAAGAATAGTAACGCCTCGCGTTTGCTCAACAAAAATGCGGAGAAAATCACTTGATCAATGCCGAGGTTAATAGAAAGTCGGTCGTGGAAAATAAATATATTTATCAACCTCGTTCAAGCTTATCAAGAAAGAATACATATTAAACTATGGTGTGTTCAAAGCCATTGTTACATATTGAGCTCAACATCAGAAACGAATTCTAAGAACGTGGTAACAGCCTGAAGCACTTTCACGCTTTCTACAAGTGGTTAAGGGGCTCGTGTGGAACAGTGGTGGGAGGCGCCCTGCAACACACATGTAGAATCGATCCCCGCGCCCATGGCCCACTTAGACCTCCATCCCTTCGGAGTCGGCAAATTAATACCAGGACTGTCTCAGAGGATAGCAGCATGGCTTGAAACATCGGTAGACCACCGCGAGTCATCGTAGAGGCCAGATTTGCATTCCATCAGCTCCAAACGACGCTTAATGAAGTCGAATGCATGGCGCATCCCTCAGGGATTGATCAGCGCCGACAGCTTTAACCTTTATTTTTTACAAGTGGCTAAGAAGGATATTATTACGAGTCAAAAAAGTGTTTAAACTAACTACAACGATGAGAAATAACTCTGGTTACAATGTCGATCAACATCCATGGTAAATCTTCACTTCAAAAGCAACTCTTTGTTTTCCTTTTTTAAAGTCACAAGATGAACACCATGGTGACAGGATTTATGGAATCATTCCTAATCGAACACCCACAAGAGATGTCGCCATGCATTCGAAGCAGAGCATTCCGCCACTCTGTGCTTGTCAACATCATATTTCCTTCAGAGGAACATTGCGGAGTGGAAACGACGGAATACAAAAGTTACCAACAGGGATATCGTATTCGCTTATTTTTTAAACTCATAAAACACCTGATAAGGAGCAACACCAACGAAAATTGCAAGCTTTTCTAATAACTTAGTGGCCAAAAAAATGAACGCTACCAAATATACGTCTCTTGGACAATCTACTATGTAATGGATTGAGGTAGCAAGCACAATAAGAAGAAACCAGGCGACATATAACCTCACAAAATTCGTCCTATATATCATAATGTCCAGTGACGTAAAGTTAAGTTGAGTGACTCTGCTGAGTTTAAGAAAACTACTCAAAACTTCTGTATCATTTGGCCAAACATAAGATCGAAATGCCTTTACATTATCGTTAGGATGATACGATCCACATTTCCTGAACAACAACGGAAAACGCTATCCACAATTCACCACAAGGTGTCCTTCGGAAAACAAAGCATCCGCATGGCATGAAGACAGCAAGCACTATTCTGGTGCAAACGAAGGACACCAACTGAACACTAACGCAGTTATCCACTTATTGACAATCTGACACTCAATTATGCTTATTGCACAAATAAATGACAATACTTCATCATATAACCATCGAACGCAAAGTACGTTCCAATCATGTGAAGAAATGGGGAACACTGAAGGATTCCATAATGAAATCATCAAACATAAGATAGATTTTCACCATTTGAAGAACTAAGTGAGTAATGAAATTATTAAAGTTCACGACCTATAAGGTCGCCATGCGGAGCTCCTCCGTGAGATTTACAGTAACGTGAAAACATCCATTTCGCCAATGCGCTACAGGCGAACATTGAGAAACCGTTGATAAAAAATTGATAGAGTATTTATAAAATTTCACCGCTGTCCCTGAGAACTGTGGCCGGCATAATTCACTTCATGATTACGAGCATATCCAAGATATGCAAATGCCTCAACTATTTACTCAAGTTAGGTTGCCGTTATCAAAGATTAATGGATTGAGTAACCACTAGACATCAATATGATTCAAGGGAAAGGAACATAACGGTAGGGCAGACTACTAAGACGATGATGTGTGCACTGGTTTCAAAACAGTTACCAACGGAACCAGGAATTCTAAAATCCGTCGACATCCCAGAATCAGGGACGCGAATCTACTGATCACATCGAAGATCGGGTCAGCCAAACACGTCATTTGGTTAAGGGATAACAGCCGTTATAAAGTCGAAAGCGACTGAATCCGTCAGTTTGTTCCTGAAAACTTGGATTCTCGTTTGCAGCACGATTTTTCACGGGTACTCGAAAAAAATTGCTACCCTGCTGTGTAAAGGCTGAATCTACATTAGAATTAAGATACGGGACATGTATGTGTGACAAAACTATTTGAATACTCCTGATCTATCTGTTAATCAAATAGAAAGCAGGCCAGAGGACTCTTCGTTACCTCCAGGTCTAGAAAAATCTCAAGTTTGAAGAAAATAAAAAAATTGGAGCGAGTGTTTAGCGCTATAGCGAATATACTACTTCGTAAAGAGCACAATTTTTATACATTGTCATACATTAGTTACATTATTCGTTTACAACCCCATATTAGTGACATCTAAACCGCGTGGACTTGCGCACAGGCCATGACTGTCATCGAAGGGTGAATGACAGATGGAACACTCTTCAGGAAATAGCGAATATTTTGCACCTATTCAGACATTTGAATTTCGCATGTAATTGTATAAACCCGTCAATATGGTCTCCTCATCTAGAAACTTTCTATTTTTATTTGGATACTTGATGATTTCTATCATAGTACGACTGAGTTAGTCACTTTGTAATAACTAACCCAATTTTGCACGGCGTAATTTCGCGCATTGAATCAGCTCTATCTCACTGCTCTCTCTGAGAAATTCGAGCGTTCATAGCTCATACTCCATCCAGTCAAGAAGAAATATTAGCAATAGTCATCATTCCATTGGTTCAGAGCTTGAGTCTGTTCCTACAACCTCTTTCTTGCTTCCATACTTAATGTAGTGGAGTAAACCTGTTCGGCTCTCTATTCACAGAACCACTATTAACCAGTGTAAAAAGACCCGCGAGGGAAATCGCAAAATATGAGCATTCTATACCCAACTAAACCCAGAGTGCAAAGTATTTCAAAACAACAATAGCAGCTTCGAACACAATTCCATAATTACGCTTGAAGCACCTAGTCGAATGATCCTCAGTTTATATGTCGACAGTCAATCATTTATTCATAGTAAAATGATTTAAGTAAAAACCAACATCAGTAGATGTATGCTCATATAAAGAAATAGAACTCACTGTAGGATGCAAATTCCAAAAATACAGCACCAGGCAGACGGTAGAAGCATGTCGCAGCCGAGCATGCTAATCGGTGGAGTGTTACTAGCTGCATAGAAAGCTTCAACGATGTCGCTGCCAACAAGCGCGAATCCAGGAATCGACAGGAAGTGCTTAAAAGTGTTATGGGTATTTGGTAGGACGCACAAAATCTAAAGACGGAAATGTAAGCCAATGGAACAAAAATTTCAATACTGCATCACTATCATTTAACATTATAGAATCTCCACATAAACGTTGTCAAATCATGAGACAACTTCTCGAGGCATAACGTAACTTACTATCCTATACAGTCATGGTTAAGCTAGTCGTTAGACACTAACTGCAAGACATATTCATCACCTGCTTAGAAGTACATCCGCCTGAATACTGAATATCATATTCTCATGAATTCTTCCACAATTCTAGAGAAGACCTTTGAAACGCATTTTGATAAAAAGAAAAATGTAAATTTCCCTCATTGGTTCGCCATTTGCAATCACTTGAGACCTGGTAGAAATCTAAGAACCTAAAGATGCACTACCAAGGATTTTTCACTATTTCCAGACAAAAGTATCTCGAGCAGCAATAAATCAGTCCCAGTAGTTGGCACACTGAGTACTCCTGTCTATTATGTCGCACGATGAATGAAACGATGACAAGCAATCAAACTATGGGTTGTACAGGACGCCATAGGGACGGTGGGAAAACAACGTGTTCACGACGTTCCATGAAGACCGTGCTCTGCATGTACATTAATAAGTTAACAATTTCTGGGAGACCATAGAGCTTGCCAGGAGTCCAACAGCAAGAAGACCGACAATTAAGAGATATCACCCTAGACATGAGGGTGTGTGCAGCGCATCGTTTAGAGGCGCCCAGTAATACAAATGGGATTGATCCCGTGCCTCAGATTCAGCGAGCTCTCCATCATTCCAGGATCAACAAATTGGTACCAGACACGTCTAGAAGGATGATAGCGTCGACTCGATACATCGGTAGGCCACAGCGAGTCATTGTGTAGGCTAAATATGCATTCAATCATCTCTAACGATGGTTAATGAAGTCGAATGCACGGTGCATCCCTCCGCGATTGATCAACGCCGAGAGCTTTAACTTTCATCGTTTTTTTACTTTTTACTTTTTTTTAAACTTTTTTTACTTTTCATAAATTGGAGAAGACGGTGTGGTATGAATTGTCTGCAGTATTTGTCGTACAAGTATTCGCCAAAAACAAGTCCAGGTGTATGTAGCTTTCATAACCTTGCACAGTCACATATTTAATTCGTTAAAACAGTGCTCAGTCCAATGGGTGTTTTTCAACGTGTGCAGTTGATGGGAGAAACTGACGGGTTGGTTGGTCAGTTAGAGGTAGTAACACACAAGAAAAAGTGTTTCCACAGATTTCTTTTAACGGATCTCAATTCTAAAATAAAAGAGCATTAAAACAGTGGGAAAAAAATGGAAAATTAGGAACAGGAGATCTAAATGGATACAGAAAAAACTGTCGCACTCTGTGCTCCTGGAAGCCAGAGCTCACCCCATGGAAACTAAGAATTTGAGAAGAAAATCTTCAGTGGTCATCAACGCATAATGAAGCTATTCAGGGATCGATAACATCTGTATAAACAAAACTGGAGTCTCTTTGACACCTCTGTGGTGCCATTATTCGACGCCGATCACTATCTTGTTTTAAATTAGCTTAAGCCCTAGGCTAGAGAAGAGCTATTTTCACCGTCCAGGAAGAAAAAGACAAGTCATCTGCAATGATTTGCGGATTGTTTCGCGTATGAGAACGATGAGTCCAAACATCCAACCGAGGACTATGGGCCGTTTGTCAAAGGATCCCACGACTGTATCGAATAAATTCTTTAACATTGCTTCACTATTGCTTCCATATGAAAAGGAGTCCGACAGCTTAAAACTATTTAAAGATGTTCACTACTCTATGCAAGCTGATGTCATACAACCAACCGTTACTTCTCCAGTAAACTTAATATTAGAGCGAAAATAATCTATTTCTGATAGCTTTTATTTGGTCTGACAAATTGTGTTCTTAATTGGGCTAAAATGGTTCAAAGTTGCAACTAAAATGTGGAAGGGGCTCGTGTGGTGCAGTGGTTGGAGGCGCTCTGCAACACACACGTGGAATCGATCCCCACACCCATGGCCTGGCCTACTAACCCTTGTGGTACCAGCGTATCTGCATGTACCAGTTGCCTCTTAGCTAAATGTCAAGAAATGTTTAAAAATTTTTTGTTTATTGTTCAACCTAGTCATCCTCTGTGAAAACTTCCGTATTTTTCATAATCCTAATTTTCATTCCTAATTTTTTCATAAGGGCGCGTGTGGCGCAGCGGTTGGAGGCGCCACCGCGACGAACACGTGGAATCGATCCCCGCACCCATGGCCCACCTAGCCCTCTATCTCTCCGGACTTGGCAAATTGGGACCAGACTTGTCTGGGAGGATAGCAGCACTTGTTCGATACATCGCTAGGTCACCGCGAGCCATTGTGAAAGCCAGATATCCATTCATTCACCTCCGAACGATGCTTAATAAAGCAGAATGCATGGCACATCCCTAAGAGAGTGATCAACGCCGGGAGCTTTATCCTTTGTCCCTTTATCATCTAAACCTCACATGGACAGGTTTGAAAAGTGAAAAGCTTACCACCATATACATTGACTCCTTTGCGTGTTTTCCGTAGATTCGATACATATCCTCTTGGCAAACGCCGAGATATGCGCTGAGCGTTAGAGCAATGGTGAGTAACATAATTCCTGAATGGAAGCAATGAAGAATTGCAGAAACCTCTAAAGCAAACTCTAACACTCTACTCTAATACATCCAACCTAGGATTTCCAAGATCTTTCCTATATTACGTGCTTTTTTCTACTATTTTTTCCGTTTGCACTTCAATGAAACTACAATAGAAGTATATTTTCCATCACAACACGGAGCTTATTTATAATCCAGAAAGGTAGAGATTTTCTATTCCTTTATTGTACTTCTATTTTCTATTCGAAAAAACCGTCTTATTTTCTATGTCTTGATTAATCTCAGAGAAAGTGCTAAATGGAAGTCTAGGGTGTTTTACCTTCAGAGTGGAGAATCGACTCGGATCATCGACTCTGAAGAAGATGAAGGCGTCGAGACGTTATCCGAAGAAAATTCTTTTATCAAGCTCGTGTTAGCTTGATAATCCAGAATAATATTGGCTAATAATGTCAACTTTAAATCAATAAAGTTATGAATAATGTGCTTCATTGCCAAGTTTATCCCGTATTGATAATAAACTTTTATTGCGGGTTAAAAAATATGAAACAGTTTTTTGGATTGTTAAGCTTACACGAGTTTATTATATTACTTTTATTCGGCAAACAAAACGACGTCTTCCTCCTCATCAGAGCTGATGATCTGCGTCGACCTTTCACAGTTGTTCGTCTTCTCGATGTGGCGTCTTCGCCGTCATAGCAATACGAATGTTATTCAGTATCGCTCGAAGGAGAAAATTTCACAATGAGACGATCCAAGAATGTGTTCATTATTACTACTGAGGTTAAGTGATGGTGGCTTTGAAAATTGTTGTCTTGCTATTCAATGCGAAAATCTGAACGGTAGGATTATCGCCAGATAAAAGACGGACTTGTTACGTCGCAAATATAAATCACAGCAGTTGTTGAAACGGAATAAAGACCATCCTGAAGACAAGATGAGTTAACGAATTGGATCCACGTAGTCACGCAAACAAGCTACCATTAGGACATTGATGTTGGGATTCGTAGTTTTGTGTAGCGTATAAGACAAATGTGGAAAATCTTGAACAATAAACAATGGTAGTTTCTTTCACTCGGCAAACGAAAAGCTGTCTTAATCCCTCGACTCTGACGCCATATGTGTCCATTTCGATGGAAGGACCGATTTTTTATTCAAAATTATTCGCACTAAACTATAAGTAGCCTACCAATAAAAAATATCGGGATGGACAAAAACACGGACATTTCAGACCACGTATTCGCCGCAGTTGATGTTTTTGGCTCATAACTTGCCAATGTGAAGATTGCGATACCTCCGGTGACCATAACAACGGAGAACACTTCTCTCAAGGAATAGTGATGCCCTCGTAAGAGATAGCCAAACACGATATTAGCTAATAAGGAACCCTGAATAGTAAATGAAGTCGGCATTACTACTTTAATTCTGAAAAAGGATTTCAAATATAAGTAGAAAGACAAAGAAAATCTAGGCATCTGTAAAAGTAGATGACTCATGTAACCGGGTTTGCCGCCTGTGCTATAAATATTATACTGTACCCACCGATTTGAAGATTATAAACAGCGGGAAATAAATATTACACCTTACAGCGTAATTATTGCACAAATTAACGAAGAAAAATAATACTGCGATTTTCAGGTAGACCCTAAAATGCGTCAAACTAATTATCGTCATAGAACTGTCGTAGGAATCAGAAGCATATAACGCATACCGAATTGGAATTGAGAGCTTGACAGTGAATAATTTTGAATAAAAGATCAATCCTTCCAGAGAAACGAATACACAAGTCGTCAGAGTTAGCAAATTAAGACTGTTTTTCACTTGCCTGAAAAAGAAAAGCACAGTTGTTCCACTGTTCAAGATTTTCCAAATTTTCTCTCACACGATGCACAGAACTACGTACCCAAAAGCAACGTCCTAATGGTAGTTTGCTTGCTCTACTAGGTAGTGTCCAAACAATTAAAACAACTTGTTTCGAAGGTGGTATTCAAGACAGCCGTTTTTTACAATTAGTGCCTACAGTGGGCGTCTTCATCTGCTGCCAGTCCAAAACATTACGCCCAGTACGTATTGGGTCCAATACATTTTATGCGGAAACAGCAGTTGCTTGCAAATTCAAAGCCACATAATTCAGCTCATGCTAAAATCTACTAGTTGTAAATACTTCTTTAGGTTATTGCTAGGATCTACAGATCATCTACAGATCTTTAATAAACAAGATACAAACCATCGTACTCCACCAAGATGAAATTCCGACAATCTGTGGAACCCACGACACACATTTCCTCCATTTTTCTGGGATTACGTTGTACCAATAAATTTCGTTTTCGGTGACTTACATTAGCACATAGCGGTTTCCTCTATCGTTCTTTTCGTACTCAATTGATAGCTTGCCCAGCATAGATGTTTTATTCAGGAATGTCCATGAAAAGCTTTATTCTACACTTAATAACTGGAAAAAGCTTTCCTGGGCGAATACATTTCCCAGCCCTGTTGAAGAGTGTGGGCCGTAGAAATTGTTTTCATTGAAGAGAGAACACGTTTCTGTAATTTAATATGGAAATTCCACATTTAAGGAGACCTTCTCGCTATGATTAGATAACAAATCCTTAAGGGTATTTTTTTCAGAATAGCTCGATGCTTACAGAATATACGTTCATCAATGTTTCAACACTGTTCTTAGATAATGCTGAGATATTGGCAGAACTCCTGACCGCAGGTGTCTGCGATGAGGAACGAACGCGCTATTGTCCTTTCCGGGAAGTAACGCGTTCACCAGCACACCATGCGGATCTTTCGTTTCGCCTGTCTCTCACCTAGTTCTATCTATCGTTTGCCATCAGCAATCACCCGTCAGCGGGACTGATTTAGGGAGCCCAAATCGGCAGCGAACCAAGTTAAGCCGAGGCTGAAGTCGAAATCACAATCTTAACCTTTTTATTTACTGCCCACTATGATTTTTAACATTAGGGTATTATGTGAAATATAACTAAGATAATGATGACATATTGGCAAAACTTCGGACAGCAGGTGTCCGATCAATAGAACTAGCTGAGAGAAAGGCGAAACGAAGGACCTGCATGGTGTGGTAGTGAACGCGTTACTCCCCGGAAAGGACAATAGCGCGTTCGTTCCCCACCGCAGACACCTGCGGTCCGGAGTTTCGCCAATATCTCAGCATTATCTTAGTTGTATTTCACATGATACCCTGCCGTTAGAAACTATAGTAGGCAGTAAATGAAAAGGTTAAGACTGTTCATAGAAACAATTACCAAATCCTACTACGACATTTTATCGATCGATATCCCGGAAAACGCATTTTTCAGCGCGCTGACGCCACTTTTAGCTAGCTGCAGTACTGGCGGACGAGTTACTGTAGCAGCGGATGTTTTCCGCGAAAAACGCGGTTTCCGTCGCACCGCCATTTTTGGTCGGCGGCAGTACTAGCGGACGGAGACGGAGACGATCGATTTATTTCAAAAATCTGCAACCTGCAATTTTTGCATGCACACAGTCTACAAATCATAGATAGAACTAACTACCTTTACAAAGAGTTTTTAATTCTCACAAGTGCGATCAACAGTTTTCTCATAGAACTTGCAACTGTTGCATAGACGTAGTTTTCAATTTCAAACCTGCACTTAGTTACAAAGTTCCGTACTTCATATGAATAACATGGGGCATTCTAAACGAGAACGGCTACTTCTGGTGCCAACTTGCACTGCATGTTTTACCACGTACATGCAATCGTAATGCCATGATACTGTCTATTGACATTCCACGTCGTCTCCATATTCTCGGCGCACTGCCGTTACCTTGTCCTTCAAGCGAATGAGAAGTCAACGGCTTGGGACCACTGCCTTTTATGTGAGGCAAATTAGTGCAAGACTACTGTTCACTCGGAGCAGCAGGACGGATCCATCAATACGTACGCACCTCACACCCGTTTAAGCGGCTGCAGTTCCCGCGGATGCGCTCGATTGGCGATCGAATCGTACAACTTGTCCTGTCGGTCAATCATTGCTTCGTCGGCGAAACGGATGTTTGTTAAAGACTACCACATTCGTCTCTTTTCATAAGATGAACTTCGAAAGGATGGCACACAAGAGCAGGATTGCAACTTAAGTAATCATTCAATTACGGTATGATAAGATCTTCTTAAGGCTTTACACCCCCATCTTAAAGCACGAACGAGAAGATACCTTCAACTCGTCAAAATTTATCGCATCTCACAGCAAATCCTGTTTTGCAATCTAATATATTCTTAAGGCAGCAACCGATGAATTTTTTTCACTTCGACGTCATCTTACCATTTAATGTTTTCCTCGGTAACAATCAGTCGGTGACAAATAACCCATACAAATGTCCCAGTTCTACAGGCCAGGCTAAAGAAAAATTGCTTATTCACATCAGATTGACTTTAACCAAAGACTGAGTAGTTATAAGGCACTAACTGCTGGATAGCTCATATCTGTCTTCACTAATAACGTTTTCGTCTTGCTTCCTCCCATTCATTTTATTCAGACTCTTAAAAAAAGCAACAATGATCTAATGCCATTTCCAGCTACCTTATTGTCGTCTTTGATGCGGAATAATGAATCGGGACTAAAGTTGACCTTCTCAGCTGAAATAGTTCAAGGATGTAAATTTCACTTTTTGACCAATAAAATTAATCCAAAACTACAAAAGAGACTTATTGTGAGGAAATTTGATAGCACCAAAATAAAGAAAAAGAGGCTGGGAAAGATAACGGCTGGAAATCGGAAGAGACTAACGGAAAAATGACAGAACAACGATACGCTCGAAAGGAGTTCGGCGCTTTCCTCACTGTTTTCGCTGACCTTCTAACCTTCTACAGTTTTCCTTAATAGCCATAATCTAATTATTCCACAGAACCTGCTTAACTACAAAAATTGTCCGTTAATCCGTTAACTGTGCAAAGCTCTGAACTAGCTGACTGATTCCCACTTCCAATTCATATAACCTCAAAAGCAGTTACACTTTTCAACAATCAGATCTCAGCTCATAGCAAAAATTATCACTTGAAATTAAGAAAACAAGAAAGAGATCTTAGCCAACAAGAGATGAAATAGATTCACTTATTCTACCAAGATAAAAGAGGCGCGCTTGTACCGCAGTGCTTAGAGGTACCTTACAATACACGTGTAATCGTCGGTTCAATCTCGCGTCCTGGTCTCACCAAGCCTTACATCTGAAAGTGGCAGCACACTTATCTGGGAAGATAGCAAAGCCAACTTGATACATCGGTAGGCAACCGCAAGTCACTGTATAGCCCAGACAATTCAATCACTTCTAGGATTCCTGATGAAATGGAATGCAATAAGCATCTCTAAGGAATTGACGGAAAACGTCGAACGCCTTTTTCAATCACTTCTACCAAGGTAAAAGGTCTACCAAGGAATTTCTCTTGGAAATCCGAATTTTCAGTGGTCATAAAATGAAAATAGTATTTTGGAAATAATACTACATTCCCGTAGCGCAATATAGCGAAGTCTCTAACACAAGAAAGTCGAATTCTGAAGCTCTCAAGTCCTTCAGCTACCGAAAACTACCTGAAATTACCGGAATGGCCATTGTAAGATACACAAATCTCTATTTCTGATAAATCATTGCTTTTCATTTCCAACAGTTATAGTTGACCACGATTATCGTCCAGAATGGGTAGATATAAAAAATACCGAAATACGCTCAATATAGGTTGAAAAATACTTCCAAATGCCAAGAGCAATTTGTTTCGATGGTGATCTATAGGATAATATAGCAAACAGTAGCATATACCTCCAGATCGACACAGCTACTCTCTTCTATAACTCTATGATGCTCTAAACCCCTCAAACGTTCTAGCTAACAAGAAATCAAGTTCTCTTAGTAAAGAACCGGCATTGTCCGCAATTCGATGTTTTTAACGTCGCTGAGTTGCCCTATTTGTGAAGCTGACATGAAACTACGAGTCCTCGGATGCAACAACCACGAAAAACTTGAGCTTGGGACGTTACCTATTAAACGACAAGTTCCAGTTAAATATAAGTTATAAATTCATGTTGATTATGTATCTGCCATTTCTACCCATCCTGAGAGTATACTTCAAACCGAGATGTCAACATTTCCTTTGGTTTAATAAAGACCTTAAATGCCCATCTCAGAATAGGTAACCACCCTAGAAGGTTAACTTCCACGACGATCGTAACTCAGTACGCAGAAACACTCTTCATTCATTTTGAGGCAGTTATGTAAGAATGGTCCTTCTGCATACTGTAAACATGCACATACAAGTTTCCACAGCAATTTACCGCTTTGTTGTGGCAATAGGTGCCTCTCAACTTTTAATATCAGTGTGAGCTTTAACAGCGAATATGATGGTACCTATCACGGAATTTATTAGATCTGAGATCCAATCCCAAAGGCGGTTTTTCGCTTTACACTGTGAATAGCTTTTTTGGTCTGTTCCTGGTACATCTGTGTTAGGCAAGCTATTTAATAATTACGACAAATACTGCAAAAGAGCTCTTTGTGCAGCAAAAGAAAGCACGAAAAATGCATTGAATTCAATATGCACCGGCCAAAACGCCTGCCAACACGTGCGCAACATTGCTAACGTGTTCATATTACAACTAAAACCCAGCTGATGACCCTTTTCAGAATTGTTTAATTTTGCTGTAATGGGGATGAAGTACCACAATAAGTTCATCTGATGGATGATACCTCGGGAATATTTGGTGCCCACATAAACAGCTTAACATCGCACAAGATTTAGAGAACGGCTTCCACAGAACATATTATTCGACGATTCAAGTACTTATTGAGAGTCATCTGTCACAATAAAACCACTCCGTTAATATATATATATATATATATATATATATATATATCACCTGTATCACCTGTAGTCCCGTTGATCGTCGAGTGGCTCTAGCGGGCGCCAGTAAATCTTCCATTTTTCCCTGTCGCATGCAAGAGTAGCCCAGTGGGT